GTGGGGTGGTGTGTTTGTGGGAGGAGGGGGGGGGGGGGGGGGGGGGGGGGAAATATGATAGAGGTATATAAAATCATGAAAGGTGTGGAGAGGGCGAATAAAGAAAAGTTACTCATTAGTTCCCATAATATAAGGACTAGAGGACACCAAATGAAATTAATGGGTAACAGGTTTAAAACTAATAAGCAAAAGAAGTTCTTCACACACCACATAGTCAACCTGTGGAACTCCTTGCCAGAGGAGGCTGTGAAGGCTAGAACTATAACAGAGTTTAAAGAGAAGCTAGATAAATTCATGGAGGTTAGGTCCATAAAAGGCTATTAGCCAGGGGGTAGGAATGGTATCCCTGGCCTCTGTCAGAGGATAGAGATGGATGGCATGAGACACAATCGCTTGATCGTTGTCTTCGGTCCACCCCCTCTGGGGCACCTGACTCTGGCCACTGTCAGCGAACAGGCTACTGGGCTAGATGGACCTTTGGTCTGACCCAGTATGGCCATTCTTATGTTCATTTACTTTGGTAAGGAATGGATAAAAACTGAGTACGGAATTCAGGATTTTCTTTTAAGAAGGTATAGTTCAGTTCTGAAGTACAATGAATATGAATGTCTGATGCTGAATCTTCATTTCATACAAGAATTATGTCAGAGCTGTTTTACTTTGTGATAGTGAATTTAGTTTAGACCAAATCAGTATAAGTTCAACGGGAATACAGTATTTTAGGGACTTGATTATCCTGGCACTGTTCTGTATAAACAAATAAGGAACTGTAAAACTGCACAGTGTGAGGCTAGATAGGATAAACAAGATTTTTTTTTTTTTACTGAAAGTAGACATAAGGATAGTGTCTGGTTATATATCCTGCCGGAGTCTGCATGAAATAATTTATTACTGTCTCAGAAGTTGAAGCAACAGTACAAGTTTGGGGATGGGAAGAGTAGAATATAGCAGAGAATGTTTCTATTTATCATGTTTATTTTTTAGAACTCTGGAAACAGTAGTTGTTACATTTTGTTAAGCCTTTTCCAGCATTTTATAGTAGTATAAGTTTCAAGATAAGATACATCAGTGTTCACTGTTGCTAATTTGTCACAACTAAAGTATTTTTATTCTTTGATATTAAAACTTTGTCAATTCTATTTTCATTTTTACATATTTAAAGTGAAAAATTTAAATGTTAATGCAGTTTTTGATATGTTGTATTTGGTAGCAGCCAAACTTTTAAAAAGAGTGTTCCAGTAACACATTTGATGTACACTTCACACAGTGTGGTATATAATCATACTACAGTAGAATCTCAGAGCTTATGAATACCTTGGGGGAATGGAGGTTGTTTAACTGAAAAATTTGTAACCGTAAATAAAACTTAATGGTTGATCTTTAAACAGTTTACAGCTGAATGTTGGCTTAGTACAGCTTTGAAACTTTACTGTGCAGAAGAAGAAAAAAATTGCTTTCCCTTTATTTTTTGAGATAGTTTAGCACACTACTGTACTTCATTTGTTTTGAGTGTGCATGTGCATGCGTGTGCGCTGCTGCTGCCTGCTTGTGTACTTTAGTTTCAAATGAGATGTGGTGTTAATCCATCAATTTGTAATGCATGTGTTCATAACTGAGTCTCCAGTAGTATATTTTTTAAAAATCACATTTGTGAATCTTATAAGATTTTAACAAAGAAAATGCATAGTGTAAATTACTTGTCAACATCAGTTTATCTACTGTGGACTCTAGAGTGTAGCAAGGCTTTCCTACTTTAAGCCTTTATTTAGTTTAAATATTATTGGTCAGATTTTCAGAAGCACTGAGCATCCACAAATCCCACTGAAGTTAATGTAAGGTGCAATGCTAAATACCTTAGAAAATCAGACCATATAGCTTTGAAGCTGTGTTAACTGTTATTAAGTGTTGTAATTGTTTGTCTTGCAACTGAAACTTTCCTCTGTGAGTGAACTCTTGGCCCCAACTGACAACAATGGGAGTTTTGCCATTGATTTCAATTGGAGCCAAAACTTAATTCAAAGTTTCAGCTCAAAACTGAATGTTTTCTGGGAAGTTTACTCAAAACATATTCATATATTTTTGAGATGGATGATTCGGGGGAAAAACACTTTTCCCATTTTAAACATGAACTTTTTATACAAAGTCAACTCAGACAGCAAAACTTTAAAGCTACATTTATACATGGCTAGTCTTCAGTGAGGAAATCCATGAGGTAAGTTTTTTGCAGGGGGGAAGGGAAGAGAAGAGGATTTAGAAACAACTTTCAAATAAGAAAGTAAGGAATTAGAAATCTGCATATACATGCAACACACTTATTTTACTGAAAGTTTTTAGTTAGGCCTTGAAGTATTGTGGCTACATAATTTCATAGTGAATAAATACATAATTTTGTACTTTCAAATTATATTTTTTCCTTAACTTCAGGATATCATAGGTTAAAATTTGTGGCATCCTAGAAAAACACAATTACATAACTTCATAAGTAAAATTTGTATAGCTGCTGTTGCTGCAGGGTCTTTCAGTTTATCACTATAGAATAGAATTATGAACTTCATATTGTAGAATAGCATTTAATGTATTTTTAAATGCTAGCAATGTTAATTGTTTTGCATTTTATAACTTAAAGTTGCAAATATACTTGGTTTGTAGTTTTTAATATAATTTTTTTCCACTTAATATTTGAAACAAATATGCTTTAACTACCTTTTTATGTGTTTTAAAACGAGGTGAATTTTCTTTTTCAGGTGAGTTTCTGGGTGGTTAGAGAGATTCTTCATGCACAAACTTTAAAAATAAGAGCTGAAGTTTTGAGCCACTATATTAAAACTGCTAAGGTAAGATTTTTATTTGTTTTGGGAATTGCAATGCTGAAACTTTCATGTCTGAGTTCACCCTTTCAAAAATGTATGTGCATAAATATTTGTTTAACACTCCATTTGGCTGCAGTGGTGTCTGTTAGCATGTGGTAGTGTTTGGCCTCATCAGTGTGGCCACATTAGCGGAAAGGGTGACACACGGAATTTACATGACTAAAGAAAAATTAACTTCATTTAAGAAAATGCTCTGATTATTTATTTTAAATGTTTACTAATTCTGTTTTTCTGTTCGTATAATTTATCATCCATTTTGTTGGATAATCCTGATAGGCTCTGACTATTTACTTTGCTCTGGCTAAGCTGTTTAAATACATTGTTTATTTTTGCTTTTGAGAAGGAAAGGACCTGAGACATCCTTTTCTTCTAGTAATATCATGGCTAATATCAATCTGTCTATTAGGAAATATTTACATCCAAAAGAAATACAATTTCAAAATACTACTTTGAGTAAAGAGGTAATAGGTCAAGCAGCTGCTGGCCATGTTTCCCTTGTCTCGTAATGTTAATATCTATTCCAGTACATTAGCTAATCATTACTGTACAAATCCTGTTATTTCCTGTGTGAATATCCTTCACCTGTGCAAGAATCTGGGGAGGCTTCCAGAAGAGTGCAACCTCTGCATGGGGTTGAGCTCCCTATGAAGCTCTAGATAGCTCCCTACAAACCACAATCATTTTGAGGACAAGGCCAATGTGCTATTACACTTCCTCATCCACATGTTTCTTGGTTTTCTATATCAATCATTAGTTTCCCTCACTTCCCCCATAGATTTTAGCACAGACTGCGAAAAGGAGGAGGGAGGGGGAACAGTGGGAATTACTTGTTTAGAGTTCAAAACCCAGGTATGTCTCAACAGTGTTGCTTGGGTTGTAGTGATTAGGATTTGTCAGATGTCTTGCAGAAAAAATGTGGAAAATACAGATATCTCCTAGGGAGGCAGTGGTTAACCGTGACCCAGCTGAGCTGAAGCAATCCCCTGCCCAGTGCAGTCCGAGGCCTACTCTAGCCTATCTAGGCTCGCTGTGCCATGAGGAGGGGGGGCATTCCACGACTTATGGCAGGCCTGGCTGGGCCAGAGCAGCTGCACTGTGGGTATGGAGGCTCTCCAGCCCACCCTGATTTAAACAGTTGACCAGTTAAACATAATATTTAACTGGTTAGCTAATTAAACAGAATTTTATATCCCTAATATTTCCTTATGTGAGTACATACAGCTCAGAGTCAAAGGCCTTGTTTACACTGGCACGTTTTGTTGCCAAAAACAGTGAGAGCATTCATGCTACAATGCAACTTTTGTCAGAAAAATCACCAAGTTTGGGTGACACAAAAAACTTCCTTCCCTGCAAGAAAACGTTGTCTTTCCCCCTCCCTTTATTGTCAACAAAGAGCCAGTGTGGACTCCATTTGTTTTGTTTAGAGAACTGGCTTCTGCCATTACCTCACAATGCCTGCCCTAATGGCTGTGCTCAGGGTTTTATGATCTCTGCTGCCCTGTAGGTATGCGCCCCTCCCCTTTCAAAGCTCTGGGAAGTATCTGAGAGTTGAGTGAGCTGCTCGGTCGGCTTGTTCCCCAAAGAACAGATCATTGGAGTGCTCCTGTTCTGTCCTGCACTATGAACACAGTAGCAGGCAGACTTCTGTGCTGCTTTGACATTCCTTGGCAGGGAGAACTCACAGCTATAAGGGAACCCCAGGAAATTCAGGGATCAGCTCTGCTTTCCCACAATACTGCACTGTGGGATACTTACACATGTTGCTTTGCTCTAACTGTTGACAGGGTGGTAGCAACATGGCCATGAAATGTCGACAACGGGAGGCAGAAAAAGTGGTTTAAGCAGTTTTCACTTTTGGCAACTTTTGCATGTCAACAGCATTTTTGAATAGTAATAGAGATGTAGCCGTGTTAGTCTGGTCTTGCTGAAACAAAAGACAAGACTATGCAGCACTTTAAAGACTAACAAGATGGTTTATTAGGTGATGAGCTTTCGTGGGCCAGACCCACTTCCTCAGATCAAATTGTGGAAGAAAATTGGCATGACCATATATATCAAAGGGATACAATAAAAAAAAAGTGAACATATATAAAATTGACAAATCAGATTTTAGAACGGGGGTGGGGGGAAGGGTGGAGGTTACTGTCTGAGATGATGATGATATTAGGGGTGATAATTGGGGAAGCTATCTTTGTAATGGGTAAGATAATTAGCATCTTTAAGGCCCATTTGTAAAGTGTCAAATTTAAGCATGAATGACAGTTCAGAGGCTTCTCTTTGAAGTCTTGTGTTAAAATCTCTTTGAAGCAGGATGCAGGTAATCAGGTCATTGAGACAATGCCCATTCTGGCTGAAATGGTGAGAGAGTGTTTTTTGTTTGTGAAACTGTCTGATGTCGATTTTGTATGCATTGATTCTTCGGCAAAGTGTCTGAGAAGTTTGTCCAATATACATAGCAGACGGACACTGTTGGCACATGATGGCATAAATTATATTTCTGGATGAGCAAGTATATGTGTTCTTGATCTTAAAAGTGAAGTGGTTAGGTCCACTTTAAGAATAGGCCTTAACAAAGATGCTGATCTGAAGAAGTGCGTCTGGCCCACGTAAGCTCATCACCTAATAAACCATCTTGTTAGTCTTTAAAGCGCAACAGCATTTTTGTGTGTAGAGCAAGAGCTTCACATATGATCTGTGGAGAATCACAAAGAAGAAAATGTCCATGAAATTCAAAAATTGTAGCTACAATCATCCAAGGATTCACCTGTCATACACTGTAAAGATTTAATTAAGACACCATTTTTACACTGTTGTACAATGGGTCTTTTATGTATGAGCTTAACTTGTCTTCTGTGTAATCTTAAAGTGTTTGATCAGTATTTCAACCATTGCATTTCCATCACTTTACTGCATTCAGAGTATTTTTTCAGTTGAATGTGTTTTCATCCACAGAAACTTTATGAGCTGAATAACCTGCATGCCCTTATGGCAGTGGTGTCTGGATTGCAAAGTGCCCCCATCTTCAGGTTGACTAAAACTTGGGCGGTAAGTAAACTCAAATAGGGCAACTTGTGATTCCTCTCCCCCCCCCCCCTTCTTGAAAGATAGATTTATTATAACCTTTTGTAGCTTGCTTCAAGGATCCAATGATTATTAAAGATAATTTTGAATCCATTTATACTGCATACAGTGTGTTTCCAGTCATTTATGTCTCCATTCTCCTCTTGAGTCTTTTTTTCATTTTGGCATTGAAATAATTTCATTTTAAAAATTGTTCCCTGCAGATCCCATTATATGCAGTGGTTCCTAATTTGGCCAAATGCTATTTTGTTTTAGTTGTTGGAATATTATAAGAGCCAAAGATAATTTGTATTTTAATTATGGAAGGTATCATACTGTTGGAGTTTTTTTAGCTATGGAGAATAAATGTCCCAAAATTCCTTGATCGTGATCACGTGCCATAAATAATTTTCTTATTTATATCACTTATTTATGTCTTATTTATATCTTTTTGGGTGTTTCCAAATATATTTCATAGTTAGTTAATGTACTGAACAGTATATGTGCACATCTCATTTTTATACCAGATTTTGAAAGAGTGAAGTTCTTTTAGTTTGGTGACCCCTACCCTCAGACTATATTTGGCTAAAGTAGAAAGTTTCATGATCTTTCTATTATATGGGTTTCATTGGTTAGCACAACTTTGGGAATAGCTTTTACTAAGTACAAAGCCAAGAAAAATATTGTCCAATTTTGCCATAAATTATATGCCCGCGTAGCTATACAGATGGGCTTCCACTTTTGCAATGTGTTAAAATATGGTAAGGTTTAATCAGCAGTTGCATTATTTCCATGTGTAAGGCATCCACAGGAATTGACTTGTAAAATGAAGGCTGATAGTTCTTGGTGCGGGCATGTCAGTAGATAGAAATTTCTCACATGCTACTAGAGTTGTCAGGAGGCATTGTGAAAGATAGTATTTTTCATTTAACATGAACTATTGATAATGCTTCTGATGAGGTGCTTTTTTCCTTGAAAGCTTGTGCCCAAATAAATCTGTTAGTCTTTAACAGACAGAGCCCCCAAGGCTGGGAACAGGTCACTGATTCCTGTGCTGCCTCAGGGAGCATGTAAAGGCGGTCATGTTGCAGTGAGGAAAATGGTGGCAGCCTGCCTACTGCTGGTGGGAGTGTTTCAGGATCTAGGTCAGGAATGAGTAAGACAGCATCCACAGGCTAGGTCCAGCCCACCAAGCTGTTTGGTCTGGTCCACGGCTCCCCTGCCGCTCCCCCACCCCCAGGCCAATCAAGACCTAGGGATGGGGGAGCACACAAAGTCGCCTCCCCCAGCCAGGGGTGCGCAGTGCCTAGAGGGAACTCCAGCGGTTCAAAACAGCTGGTGGTACTCTTGAGGCTCCGTGTACTCCTGGCGGGGGAGGGAGGAGAGATATCACACGCTCCTTCACCCCAAGCTAATTAGGGTCTGTGGGTGGGGAAGCACACCCTGCCTTTTCCATCTGAGACCCCTCCCTTTCTGGGGCAGCCCGCAGCCACTTCAAAAATTTGTGGAATAGCCCTCCTTAAAAATGATTGCCCACCCCCAATCTAGGTGGTGTCTTCTCCCCCCTCCCCTCCCATTTCATGAAATTGGCATATCGGTATGTAACTTGAGGCAATTTTGGCAAAATTCATCATGACAATTTTTTAAAGTTTTTAAAGTTACAGTCTTTTGAATATGTATATTCTGTTTTTGTGCATGTATACTTCTTTTTTGTGAAGTTAGAAATATGTAGTGGGGATCTGTTTATAATTCTAAATATTTTAGAGGGCTAGGGATGTTAAATTTTGATTAATCAACTAATTGAGTACTCAATGGAATTTCTATTGACTACTTGATTAGTTGATGAGGGAGACACTCGCTGTCCTGCTGCACCTCTTCCTTTAAAATGTACAAGAGCTGCCCAGGGAGATGGTGCTGGGGGGAACCAGCTTTTAAGCTGGCTCCCCACCAGCACCAGCTCCTGCTCCCCCCCTCCTTGCTGCCTCTGTCTGATAGGCGCAGTGGGGGAAATGGGAGGAGTAGAAGCAACTAGTCAAGTGACTACTTGCCTATCCAATAAACTTATACTTATCCGGTAGTCAACTAGTTGCTTACATCCCTATAGAGCAGCATTTCCAACCTTTTCCAGATGGGGACCCATTTTGACAATTCAGGAAGACGTGGTGACCCAGGGCAATTCAAAAACAGGGGGAGGAGGGAGGGCAGAGCCACCTGGGGAGACACTTGGTGACCCTTTTGAAATGTAATGGCGACCCATATTTGGGTCCCGACCCATAGGTCGGGAAACCCTGCTATAGAGGGATGTTATTGATACTCAGGAAACATAATAGCTGTGAGCCCAGACTGTGGGTTGGACCTAGAAAGTGATGTGACCATGCCACCTGGTGTTGGAATCCATCTTTAATCTGGTATTTTTCCATGGAGATGAGCTTAAACAAAGGGCTTCCATCATGGGGGAAGTCTATTTAAAGAAAGTCTATTTAAGGAATGAAAAACAATCCGTCTTTTGTCTTCAGCTGCCTTTTGAATTTGACTAAGAATTCTAAAGATACAAAGAGCTGTAAACTCAGACCAGAGAATAAATCAGTTTTATCTTGAATAGTGGTAGAAATTTAGCCGTGTTAGTCTGGTGCAGCTGAAACAAAAAACAGGACTGTGTAGCACTTTAAAGACTAACAAGATGGTTTAATAGGTGATGAGGTTTCGTGGGCCAGACTGGTTTTTACCTGAAATAAGGTCAGAGAGTGAGCTATATTCTTTGAAACAATTTATCTAAGATACGTGTAAGCAGCAGGGCTAAAGTTGAATTAAGATAAGGCAACTTCTGCTACGTCAATTGTGTAATTTATGTCAAAATAGCTTAATTCGGTTTTTGGCGTTGTCTATGCAGCAGGAAGTGGAAGGAAGAACACTTTTCCTTCAACTTCCCTTTCTCCTCATGAATTGAGGGTTACCATGAGTTGGAGTAAGAAGTCTTATAGCTCAACATTGTTTTGAGATAAAGGCTTATACTGAAGACGCACCTTTTGTTATTTCGGAATAACACCATTATTACTGAGCATGAGGTGCTGCTAATTCAAATGTTAGGGCCTCCATCTAAATATGGACAAGAAAGTGATGACGATGCTTTGAAAAATGAACTATTCTGAAGACATGGTACCTAAATTGTCTAGGGACTGCTTTTCTCTCTATGTTCTGGCACAGTCTACTCTCTGCAGAGGTGTTTCAACTACTACATATGATCCCAACAAGCCATTATCCTCATGGCTGTCCTCAGCTTTATATCTTTCCCTGGAAATCTGAAAGAACCTAGATATAGTAAACTGTCATAGTAGATGTAAGACTAAATTTTTTCACAGATGGGCGTGGGGCCAGAACTTTAAGTAACACAATTTTCAGAATAGTCTCCCTTTAAAATGGTGTTTCTCTGAAAGTTGGTGTAATGCTTGCTGTATCCTAGAAATGTTAGTCAGCAGAAAATATAGGAAAGAAAGCAAAAGGCATGAAATAAATGCAATTACATTTTTGCAGGCGTTCATAGATTTGTTCAGTCATTGTAATGGAAAGCCAGGTAGATTTTGGTTGTAGTGGCAATGTCAATTCTCAAGATTAGGTACAAAAGTGATTAGGGAATGTATCAGCTTTTTTATGAGGAGAGATTAATAAGACTGGGTCTTTTTAGTTTCAAAAAGAGATGACTGGTAAGGGGGATATGATTGAGGTCTACAAAAATCATGGCTGGTGTAGAGAAAGTAGATAAATGCTGTTTATTCATTCTCATAACAAAGAACTAAGTTTCAACAAATGAAATTAAAAGACAGATTTAAAACGAAGTGTGTGTTCAAGCAACACAGAGTGAATCTGTGAAACTCTTTGCCAGAGGATGTTGTGAGGGCTAAGACTGACAGGATTAAAAAAAGAACTAGATAAATTTATGGATGATAGATCCATCAGTAGCTATTAGCTAGGATGGGTATGGGATGGTAACGCTAGCCTTTGCCAGAAGCTGGGGATGAGTGACTGGGAATGAATCATTTGATAATTACTTGTTTTGTTAATTCCCTCTGGAGCACGTGGCATTGGTCTCCTTTGGAAGGCAGAATACTGGGATAGATGGACTTTTTGTCTGATGCAGTCTGGCCATTTTTGTGTTCTGTTCTTATTTACTAACATTAGGATATCTCTTCATTGGGGGGAAACCTTTGTGACCACTCAAAGATAGTGCTGTTAAAGTTCATTCTCTCTCTCTCTCTCTCTCTCATAGTATTTTGTCTATAGTTAATTCTGCTGAGTACAGTATAGATTTACAGTAAATGATAGGTTAGTTTTTAAGTTTTGGTGTTATAGCTGATGATTCTATGACATAAAAGATCCAGTACAATTATCTTTTTGCTTATAGAACAAAATACACTGATGGTTTGTGCTCAAAACATTGTACTTTTTTGTGGATAAGGCACATCAAGCCCCAGTGCATCTTTCTCTTTCTAAACAGTATTTTTTATGTCTGCATTAGGCAATACATTGATTTCAAAGAAGTATAAGGCATTTTAAAATTTTCACTATATTTTAATGTTCCTATTTCCTTCACTAGAAAATAAATTTATGGGGGAAGTTCATAGCTTACAGACTATTAAGTTACAAGATTTAAAATGTCAATAGTAACTCAACCAAAATGGCGTAATGGTGAAATGGGGCTTTATTATTATACACTCAAGAGTAAGAGCTGTGATTTCGGCTGTTATATTCCGTGTTCTTCGTATATAACAAACTGAGTAAATCCCTGCTTTAAGTGCAAAATTTAGCTCAACTCTAAATGAACTGCAACCCTTCTAACTTTGTGTCTCTCTTGTAGTTATTGAGCCGAAAAGACAAAACAACCTTTGAAAAGTTGGAGTACGTTATGAGTAAAGAAGATAATTACAAACGACTTAGAGACTATATCAACAGCTTGAAGATGACTCCTTGTATTCCTTATTTAGGTAGGTAAACTTAATAACTTTAGTGTGCAGTATTAAGTCAACAGTACTTGCAAAATGACTTGCAGAAAAACTAAAAGCCATCTTTTAAACAGTATTTGAGAGTATCTTAGTGCTTTAACAAAGACTGTAGAATCATCTGGATGTCTGTAAATGTTTTATATACAGAAAGAAATAACTTCTTTCTTTAAGAAAAATTTCCATTAAACCTCTCAAATACTGCTAAGATTTTATATAGAGTATCAGTTTTCTTTCGTGATGTATAGATTTAATGGTTGACTCATGGAGAAGCAGTTAGAGACTGTTAAGCCTGGCAGTGCTTTTCAAGAACTGAACATTTCATTATAGATTTGATTTAATAATGAAAAATTTTCAGTCACTAACTTCAGAGGTAAGCATGACTTTTGGAATCCATTTAAAATGCTGTGGAATCTGATTACTGTATAAATTGTCACTTTGATTACACTGAAGTTACTAGGAAATTAGATTGGCTCTACAAAGGAGATTTATAGAGCTTTATTATGAATAATTTGCCTTCCTATGCTTCTAAGAGGGTATGTCTATACTACAGCATTATTTCAAAATAAGCTATTTTGAAATAACGCATCTAGACACAAAATGCATTTCGAAATAGCGTTTTGCTATTTCGAAATAGTGCATCCACACTGATAGGATGCTGAATCACATTTAAGGCTGGCTGGAACTGGTTCTGGCAGGGCATCAGGTCAGGAGTTACCTTGTATGGCTGCTGCCTGAGGCTATCTGAGACCTGTGCTTAAAGGGGCCCCCCGGACATCCGGTTCTAAGGTTTCCCTGCTTGCTTTCCTACTTGCTGATGGACAGCAAAGCATTTTTTCTCTCTCCGTGCTTTGGTTGCCCTCACTCAGGGTACCACAGCACTCTGCAGCATGGAGCCGGAGCCGCCCCTGGGCACTCTGGTGCTTCTCCTGGACATGTTGCTGCGAACCTGGCAGCACGTTCTGCAGGCAGTAACAGTCTCCCTGGTGTGCTCCACTGGGGCCTTCTGCCTCATTCCTCCCTCACATCCTTCCACTTACCCCTCCCTAACCCCCCTTCCTGTTGTACACTAAAAGACACATGTGATCATTACAACAAAGCCTCTATATTGAACAAAACTGGGAGAGGGGGGAATGAGACTGAGGAAAGAAGGTGGGAGAAGGGAGGGAGCTGGCAGGGAGAATAAGGGGGAGAAGTTCAGGGCTCAGGGTTGGGGGGGGTCTCACTGGTTCAACTGTCTCCCAGTACTGTGGATGTGGGGACACTGCGGGTGCAGGGGCCTTGGCGTCCCTGGCGGGGAGGGAGAGTGGGAGAAGGAGTGATAGCTGGGGCGGCAGCAGGGGCTGGAGCAGCAGGAGGCAGCAAGCTCTGCCTCAGGTTCAATGATCACCTGGGGGGCACGGACAGTCCTGCCCCCCAGGAAGCGGTCCATGGCATCAAAATAGGGGTAGGGATCTGGATTTGCCCCTGGTGGTGAGTGGCCCCCTGTGGCCCTGGTATATGCCTGCCACAGCTCCTTTATTTTCAAGCGAACCTGCTCCTGGGTTCGTATGTGGCCTTTGGTGGCCAGGCTGGCAGCCATCCACCTGTAGACAGCTGTGTTCCTCCGTTTAGTGCGGAGATCATGGATGTTGGAGGCATCCCCCTAAACCTGAATTAGGTCCCTGATCTCCACACTGGACCAGGAAGGCACCTTTTCCAGCCCCTGGCAGGCTTCTGGGAGCTGGCAGACTGGTCCTGGGGAGCAGTGGAGTGCTGGCTGGCACTGGCTGCCTGGATCATGCTGGGGCTACTGGGTCAGGTGCAGCAACTGCTGGTTCTGGGCTGGCAGGCTTGGAGCTGGCATAGGCCCTGTGGCCAGTGGCCAGAGTCTGCCCCTTTAAGGGTTCTGGGGAGTGGAGGAGGGAGAGGAGTTTTCTTGGTTGTGGCCACCAGGACACCCTGGGAAGGGCTGTAGGCTCCCTATTTTGAAATAAGCATCTACACTGCGCTTATGTCGAAATAGCAATTTCAAAATTGGCGCTATTCCTTGTGGAATGAGGTTTACCAATTTTTAAATAAGCCCTCCGCTATTTTGATTTAATTTTGAAATAGCGGTTTGGCTGTGTAGACGCTGGTCAAGTTATTTTGAAATAACGGCTGTTGTTTTGAAATAACTTTGCTGTGTAGACATACCCAGAAAGCTTTATTAATTTATTTCTATGATTTCTTAGTGTATATAGTTTTTTATTGTCATAAATAAATATTTTCACCAACTTTTTTGGATTACTTGACTGGAAAGAACAGATTTAAGCAAGATTAGCGCCTACCAGTGTGTGTAAGATATTTGTCACTGAATGTTAATTTATATAAACTTCTCTTCTGAGATTGTGGCAGCTGATGTCCCTTCAGTTGCTGGGGGGGAAAATTATGCCAAAAAAGCGAGGTTTATTCTTTGACTTCATCCATTCTTATTAAGTGTCACAGTGGGGAGTTTCACCTCCCCTGGGGGTAAAATACATAATTTTCCCCTCAGCAATCCGGTCAAGGTAGAGGTCTCCATGGCCTCCTTTCTCTGTAGCAGTGTCAGTCATGATTGACTTGGGCGGCCAAGATGCAGGCACATGGTAGCAGCCCAATGTGGCCACTCCATTGGGAAGCACCTTGTCTTCCCTTTTCTTGAGAGAAGTGCCAGAACAGCAGTACGCTAGAAGGAAAATCACATCTAAGTGCCTAAAGCTCACACTTGCGACTACCACTCCTCACTGTGGTGCTCTTAGGTCACATGTGAAGGGCTTTGAACACAACATGAATGCCAGAATGTTTAGTAAGGAGCCTTTACTCCTAATCCCATCCCCATTCCTGTCTTCTCTATATCAGACCTCTTAAAGATCCCCTATTAATAACCCAGGTAAGGACACATTTGAGAAAAAGAGAAAAAGAATGTTCCAGTTGTTAAAGTGCTCTCCTATGCTGTAAGATGCAGGTTCACTTCCTGCTCTGCTACAAACATCCTGTGTGGCCCTGGACAAGTCACTTGGTGTTTTTGTTTTGTTTTGGGTTTTTTTGTGGTTTGGCTCGCTATTTGCAAAATGTGGAAAACCTCACTACAATGTTGTGATGCTAAATGCATTAAAAATTGTAGGTGGTCAGTCATTACTGTGGAGGGGACCACATAAGACAGGAGAATGTTGCCAATGTGGAATCCCATGAGGTAGAATTGGACAAACCTAATCCTAGAGCAGGGGTGGCCAACAACCCATTTAACAGAGAGAGCCAAATTAGTGGCGGGAAAAAAAGAGCTGTACCAGAATTGTTGAGGAAAAAAAAAAAAGGAACCCCCCCCCCTCGCCCTGGAATTGTTGAGGAAGGGGAAAAAGGGAAGCCCCCCCCAGAATTGTCAAGCTCCCCCCAAAAAGGAGGCTGCTTCTTTAAGAAACAAGCTTAGGCTTTTTGGTCATAGCAGGTACCCATTGACAGCTACCATCTTGGGTGCCATTTTGAATTGCTGCCCCGGTGAGCATCCCCGGGAGCCGGGGGCCGTTTGTAGGGGCCCATGGGGCGGCTTTGTGAGCCGCAGGGGAGGCTTCGTGAGCCACACTTTCAGGGGAGAAGAGCCGCGGGTTGGCCACCCTTGTCCTGGATCATCATGGTTCTGAGGATTCCATTCCTGACCCCCAGCCCACTTCTTGAGATCCAGAGTGAGACTGAAAACAGTAAGCAAAATCTCAAAGAAAAAGGAAAAAGTGGAATCTTACTTGAGAGAAGGGCTGGCAAGAGGATCAATACAGCAGATATTTAAAGTGTAAAAGAAAGCATTATCAGCTAGGCTTGCAGTCATAATGCTATGAAGCTTTGATTAGTAGTTCCATGGCTGTCCTCAGTCTCATTTTTCTATAAATCCACCCTAAGGCTAAAATAACTTCAGAGTTTGCAAGAGTCAATTCAGGCTGAAAAGCTTCATATGACTTTCAGTCAACAAAGAAGAATGGGGGAAAGGAGGAATACTGCATTCAAAGATACTCTTGGGAATCAGCTTATTGAACCTACTTTCTGTCTCTTGGGCAATTCCAGCTTGATTTTAGCAGTGACTCTGCTCATGATTTCATGTGTAGATAGGTTGATCATGTACTTTACAAGCAAATTTTTCAGGTATTCAGATATATTGCATAGGAGATTGATTAATGTGATTTATAATCACTGCTATCAAATCCAAACTGAACTTGTATGGAGGAGGCAAAACATATCAGAATGGAATTTAAAGATTTGACTTCTTCTAAACCTCCCAGATTAGAAAATGTTTGTGTACATTTTTAGAAAGCTCCAACTTCCAATTATTCAAAGGGTTTTTAGCATTAACTTTTATCTGTTATAGACTTGAGATATCAGACCATGCAAAAACAATTTATCAGGTAGATCAGGCTGCATTGAGCATCCCGAGAATCCTTCGGATTCTCTGCATCTTGCTTAGACAGTCTTTGTTATCTAATGTTTGAGAGAATATCTATTTCACTTCTAAATCTAGTGTATTTGGATTTTTTCCTGTTGCTTCCTTAAGTGTACAAAATATAAATATGTAAAATTGACAAAGAAAAATAGAAAATAATGGAAAACTGTATGATTGATCTTACTTTTATTTCCAGTTTGTGCCAGTGCAAACATCTCTCTTTAGACTTTAATTAATTGATGTGTTCTATCCAAAGATTTACTCTGCGGAAGAATTTAGAAAATAAGGTGTTCATGTGTCTAATGTGTATTTTCTTTCTGCTTAGAAATTAAAAAGGGTTTTGTTGCCTCTTGCTGGGACCAGCTGTAGTTTAAAACCTAATCGATCATCTGACTTTATACAGTAGGAGTTTTTGTTAGTGATAAGAATGCCTTATGTTTCCATTTTAATTCTCAAGAGGGATATTAAATTAGGTAAACTTTTTTGGGGTGCTTTCCCTAAAGTGACTTTAATTTCTTATGGTTAAATGGCTGGAAAAGCGAGTGAAAATGGTTTGGAA